AAAAAAAAAATAAAGGCAGCATTGCTTGGCTCACTCCACATTCCATAATTCTTCTGACTGCTTTTACATCCTTCCCTTTCTTTTTTCAGTTAGTGTCTCATATACTAAGTCTCCAATGATCCATGCAGAAAGGTAGCTTTTAATTGCTACGCAGCTATTTCTCCTTTTTAGTACCTGGATATTGCTTTGAGAACTTAATTTAGGAAGTGAGTGAACCACACCTATCAATGTAGCTTTATTCTCTAAGGTGACTAACACCTAGGCCCCAAGTTTTAAGTTTCCCCAGGATTCCTACCACTCAAGACACATGCTAAATAATCTGTTAGGTTTAGACCACTGAATCTTAAATCTGAGACATCATATTTCATCGAATCCAGCTCCCTTTATACATATGAAACTGAGTCTGGAAAAGTTAATTGTCTAGTTTACAAGGTAACTAGAATCCAGAGCTTCCTGACTCTCCAAACAATGCTAAATGTACTACACGTTATAGTGTTTTAATCTTTTTTTTTTTGAGACAGAATTTCACTTTGTCGCCCAGGATGGAGTGCAGTGGTATGATCTCGGCTCACTGCAACCTCTGCCCCCCAGATTCAAGCGATTCTTTTTTGTTTTTAGACGGAATTTTGCTCTTGTCACCCAGGTTGGAGTACAATGGTGCCATCTTCGCTCACTGCAACCTCTGCCTCCCGGCTTCAAGTGATTCTCCTGCCTCAGCCTCCCTCAGTCCTGCAACAGAGCAGGACTCCAGCTCAAAAACAGAAACAAAAAGTTCATTTTTAGTCTTATTCTCTGCTACAATATACTTTACTGAAAAATAAGTTCCAAGAATAAAAATTTAAAGTGGAATGTAGCTATATGAGTTGTACAGAAACCATCTGATTTTTATAAAGTGGTAATATATCATCACTACAGCAAACTCTAAATTCAAGCCAGTGATCTAAAAGTCAAATGATCCAAAACCCACTAGCCATTACCAATTCCCCAAGCTAGTTAGTACACAGAGGGCTACTCATTGTGCAATGACCACGAATATGTCATTGAATGTGAAATGATCAAATGTTCTGGAGAATTTATAAAACTTTCACTAGTTTGCACGATTAAAGTTATTTTGAGAGAAAACAACTTCCATGTGTATTATTACATTGAACTACTCAATTTCGGCTAGTAAAGTATGTACTACAAAAGGTACCACCTCAGGGGAAAGTGTCATAAATATGCTGTTCTGGAACGTACGTGGAACCTAGCAACCACTTTTAAAGTTTCATTTGCTGATGTCCCTCCCTGTCCGTTCGCCCTAAAAGACTAAGTATCTTTAAGAATCAAACTAACGGGCTTTTCATTAGGTTTTCCCACTGACAAAAATCATGTGATTGGTCTCTCCACTATTTGACTAAGTGAATCACCCAATTAAAACAAAACAAAACAAAACAAAACAAAACAAACCCGCACACTACAATCTTGTTCTAAGACAAGAGACATTTAACAATTAATCATGCGAAAAGCACAGAAGGTACTGTTAGGCCTTACTCTGAGAATTCACTCTTGCACATTGCTTACAATGTAAAATTTTAACCACCTAGAAGTTACTAGAACATAGTGGACATCCCTCCTCAAGAGTTTGACAAGCCGGAGGGGATGATGAGCTTAACATTTTACTTCCTCTCTGCCACATCAATCTGCCTGGGGATCAAGTCCTATTCGAGTTTATGGTTCCCAAGAATGGCTGGAAAGGCTATATACGGAACCTCTTGACAGATTTCTTCCACTAAGGGTAAAAATCGGCGGGTCCTGATGTGACAAGCCACGGGAAACAGGAAAAGAAAAGAGTCAGTAAAAAAAAAAAATAATACAAGGCAATCCCAGAATGGGATCCTTTGGAAGAAAGTGGGCCCATTCTTCCACCCTGGCTCCTGGAAATCCCAGAAGCTAAATCAGGTAAAATGCCCCAGTAACCTCTGGGAGGCGGGACATGACTGCTAAACCAAGGTTGCAGTCTCGTCAGGGGTGTGACCTAGTGGCCAAGCAGGTAGTGGCAAACTTGGGGTACCCCCAAGGAGGGAACCCCGCTTGAGTCACCACGGCCCAGTATGAGTGGGTGAGGGTAAGTCTGGTCCAGTCACCCTGGAGACCACAGCCCGTGCCGGGCTCCCGGGACCGGGCAGAAGCGGCAGGGGTGGGGCTTGCCCGGCTCACCTTTGAAGAAGCGCAGTGCCAGGCCGTACAACTCCTCCAGGCCGAAGCCCCAGCGCTGCTCCAGCC